AATGAGATACCACCTCACTCCAGTCAGAATGGCTAAAATTAACAAGTCAGGACACAACAGATGTTGGTGGGGATGCGGAGAAAGGGGAACCCTCCTACACTGTTGGTGGGAATTCAGGGTGGTGCAACCACTCTGGAAAACAGTATGGAGGTTCCTCAAAAAGTTGAAAATAGAGCTACCATACGATCCAGCAGTTGCACTACTGGGTATTTACCCCAAAGATACAAATGTAGGGATCCGAAGGGGTACGTGCACCCCAGTGTTTATAGCAGCAATGTCCACAATAACCAAACTGTGGAAAGAGCCAAGAGGTCCATCGACAGATGAATGGATAAAGAAGAGGTGGTATATATACACACTGGAATATTATGCAGCCATCAAAAGGAATGAGATCTTGTCATTTGCAACGACGTGGATGGAACTGGAGGGTGTTATGCTGAGTGAAATAAGTAAATCAGAGAAAGACATGTATCATATGACCTCACTGATATGAGGAATTCTTAATCTCAGGAAACAAACTGAGGGTTGCTGGAGTGGTGGGGGGATGGGTTAGCCTGGTGATGGGTATTAAAGAGGGCACGTTCTGTGTGGAGCACTGGGTGTTATGCACAAACAATGAAACATGGAACACTACATCAAAAACTAATGATGTAATGTATGGTGATTGACATAACAATAAAAATTAAAAAAAAAACAACTTTGAGTAGTTCCCCAATGTCACCAGAATAAACAAACTTCTAGCATGGCATATGAGGCCCTTTGTGGTTGGGCTCTAATAACCTGTCCTGCCTCGTGTCTCACTGTTCCTTTTCATCCACCTAGTCCTCTTTTTTCCCTTGCCCATTACCTCAACCTCTTCCTTGTTCCCCAACAGAACTTCCAGCCATATTGAACTATGGGTAATCCCTTGATCTAGCCATGTTCTCTCTCATTTCCTGGTCTTTAGACATGCTCTTCTCTCTGTCTGGAATGCAGTCTTTCCATAGTCCTCTACTTTGAGTAGCTAACTCCTACTTATTTTTAGGTTTGGGTATCGAGGTCACCTTTCCCTAGAAGGCTTTTCATACCTCTAAGACAGAGTTAAGTGCCCCTAGTAAGTTCTGTCTTGATACCTTGTGCTTTTATTTTTATTTTTTTTTAAGAGTTTATTTACTTATTTGACAGAGACAGCGGGAGAGGGAACACACGCGGGGCAGGGGGCGTGGGAGAGGGAGAAGCAGGCTCCCCGCTGAGCAGGGAGCCCGATGCGGGCGGGGCTCGATCCCAGGACCCCGGGATCATGACCTGAGCCGAAGGCAGTCGCTTAACAACTGAGCCACCCAGGCACCCCCAATACCTTGTGCTCTTAAATATTCTAACACTATTCAGAATATGTTCAAATTACCTGTTTGCTCACCTGTCTCCTGAACTAGAATGCATTTCCTTGAGGGAAAGAACTTAGTCTTCTTTCCTTTTGTTTCTCCAGCACTTAGTATTATATAGAAACACTCTATAAATAGTTATCACATGAATCTTTGGATGGATAGGCTGGAACCAAATTTCAAAAAACCTTGAATGAATGTCAGTCCCACTTGTTGAACTTTTTAATACTGCCACTAGAGAGCCTTTTATAGAAGAAATCAATCATGATGGCAGATAATAACATTCTCTGCCTTGCTTGCTCATTGAGGCACTGTTGAACAGTGGGGCATTTACATAAAATAAATACATATGTATTTTGGTACAGAATTAGATTTCATCTTATACAGATTAAAATGCAACTGTTATTGGGTACCAAAGGTTTAAGGAAAATTCTGAGAGATAAAATTCATAAAATTGTCATGAGACTTTTTCTATCAAAAGGGGAGATACCATGGGAATCTTAATTTTAGCTTTTTTATCACCTTGTCCCATGTTGCAGAGCATCTGTCTCTTACAGAATCATAAGTCAGATAAACCCTGAAGTAGAGAATACAGTGTAAGTCGAGAAAGGAATTTTAAATTTACCTATCACTTTTTATTATCATAACAACCATTTCTTAAAGGCTCATTCCTTAATATCATCAGAAAGAATCTATGATTAGGAAGTTTGAAGCCTTGGGCATCCGAGAGTATTCCTTCAGAACATCAGGGTCATTATTCCTGGTAGCATTAAAGTCATAAGCATTTTATTAATCAGCCAGGCTAGAAGTCAAAATGTTTAACTTGAAAACCCTCCTTATCTTCTCTTATTTACATGTTTTTCCTGGAATAAGTTGTCAGAGATAGGTGTGGAATTTTAACATTCTTCTGTCTTTATAATTCCAAAACAGACCAGTGAAAAATGGTCAGATTCTAGTTAGTAGGTTTAAAATGTGTGTTTTAAATAGGCCATTTTTCTCTCTGTTTCTCTTGGTGCCGCATGGCCCGCCAGAACTGTGGGGATCTTTGCTTTGTGTTACCCAGAGACTGTGATCTGAACTAAAGAAGGAGAGATGTACCTGTAGAAGAATTGTACTTATAAGATCATTGAATGAAATAGAAAGTGATTTAAGAGAGGGGATGTCGGTGCTGTAGGGAACCTGCATTTCCTGCTGAGCTGGGCATCCCCACTGTCAGGGTAGATCACACTTTGCAGGGGAGCAGCAGGGATACCCTGCGGGACCATTGCAAGGCCAGGGGTCTTTTGAAGTACGCTTGCTCATTCTTCCTTTTCTGTCATTTAATCAGAAGGTAAGTGATCAAATCCCCTCTGCTGTTCTTCCTACTTTGTCAGAAAAATGATGAAAAACATCAAGAAACCGGCCATTTAACGGTTTACTTTTGCTCTCAGGATAAAATTGTCAGAGTGGTGAGGAACCTGCCTCCAGAGTTCCCACACAGAGGCTGCAAGAAATCAGCAAGATCCCTAGGATTGCCAGAATGCTCCTGCCTGTATTGAAGACAGAAATAGCGGAGTGCAGTTAAGGAAAATGATGATTGAAATGCTATAAAACATTGTATTTAATGGAAACCTTACTGCCCCTTCATAACACTGGTTCCCAAGGACATACCTTCACGGAGCCCTGTCCCCTAGATTGGAGCCATTGCTGCTTCAACTCCAGGATGTCTGCAGAGAGCAGCCATGGGGCTTTCTCTGCAGGTCTTACAACTTCCTAGAAGGAAAGAATAACAGGAAAGTGGTGTGTTTCTTGACATTTTGAAATCTCATTCTGACAAACTGGAGCGGGGAGCAGCATTAGAAATGTACATGCAGTGTCAAGGCAGAGATATTTCCATCTTAGGTCCGAAATGTGGGCAGGGCACTGTGCTTGGTGGTGTGGGAGATGGAAAGTCGCATGAAACGTAGTTCCCACCTCCAGGAGTAACAGACTTGAAGAGGAAAAGGGAAGTGCATAGAAAGGCTTATAATTAAAAATATCATGTGGGAAGGGATGCATACGTGCTGCCAGAAAATAGAGAACAGTGGGTCACCTTTTTTTAAGGAGTTTATATTTTTATGATCCACAGAACTTGCTTTACATACGACATTTACATGGCCTAGTAGGAGAGTACAGTTTTCAGATGCATGTATGAATGAAGTCATAAATTTCAAGATGTTTCCTCTAGGAGGCTTTCCATGTATATGTACCTTTTCAATTTACTGCAGGAGTTATTGACCCAAGAACCATGGCCTCCTTGAAATTTTTTTGCAGAATTTCATAGATATGTATGTGTAGTGTTTGTAGTTTCCTGGGGAAAAGACTGATGGATTTCAACAGATTCCTCAAGGGTTCTATGGCGGAAGATATTCTGGACCATGAACAAACAAAGTGCATTCACAGACTCTTATCTGGGCTCTCATTTAACAAATGGCTAGGACATAAAAATGAGTAAATGCATTATCTGTTGAATGCATTAAATTAAAGTTGATATGCCACATTCTTAGTTTTGAAAACAGACAGGTTCAAGGTGCTATTCGTCATGAGCCCTGACTGCCATTTGTGGAGCCCTCTGAGGTGCTGGATGCTGGGCACGTGGCAGGACACTCTGCATGCATCAGTTCATGCAGCACTCATGCTCTGTGTGAGAGAGAGCTATTGTTTTCCCCATTTTACAGACAAGGAAACTGTAGCGCATGAGAACCTTCTTCAGCCTGCTGCCTAATAAGTTATGAAACTGTGGTTACTTCCCTGGCTTAGATCTGAAACCTGTATGCCCCATCACCAGTCTGCTGTACTGTTCTATGACTTGTAAACAGTTTTGTCTCTTCCCCTCGAGAAATGAACAGCCTCTTCTAAATTGCAGTTTGCTCTTCACAATCCCTATTTTCTTTTTTAAATGTCAAAATGCCTTTTGAAATAGATGAGCTTTTACAGCGCAATGGCCATTAGGCTTATGTTTACAAATTGTTAGCATTATCTTCAACATCAAGAAATACATGTTAATTAAAATTGATATCATTTCATCAAATTTGAAAGTGATATCGAACTTTTAATTTCTTTACCAAACTTGAGTGAAGAATTTGCCACATACTTCACATCGTTGTGCTGGATCAGTATAGCAGAGTATGGAGAAACATAGATGCTTGTGGGGGAAACTTTTTAAACTACACCTCTACCTTCATCCCTCATCCCTGCTGATAAACAAACAAGTGTTACCGATGTAAGTGTTTGACATGTGAATGCTGTTAGGGGCAGAAGAAAGATGAATACCATATAACATTATTTGAAACCATCTCCATTTTGCAGAATGCTGAGTAGAAAGAAACCTTGTTTGGAAGTTAGGGTCACTGATATGTTTTGAAATTATATATACTTAATTATACATAATTCTTTTGAAATTAAAACATTTTAGAATATGGTATAAAATACTGTAGCCTAATGTATCTCTTTAAAATGTGGCTGAGCAAACTGTAAACTTGAGATCTTTTATAGTCTTACTGTTGAAAACCCCCTTTTAGTTAAAAAAAAAATCAAAAGTGGTTTATACTTTGAAAATATCTTCAAAGAAAACATCACAAAAGTAAAATTACTGCTCTGCCTTTTCTTTTGTAATTTTAGGTAAGGCACTGACATTTCTTCTGCTGCAGCCTCCGAGCCCCAAACTTCCTCCACACAGTACGATCCGAAGAACAGCCATTGATCTGATTGGACGTGGTTTCACCGTCTGGGAGCCTTATATGGACGTGTCTGCTGTCCTCATGGGGCTTCTTGAACTCTGTGCTGATGCCGAGAAACAACTCGCCAAGTACATGCTCAGTTCCAGTTAATTTGTGGGGGTTCTGTTTGTGTTTATTCGGTTGGTGATTTGTTTTAATAGACAAAAAAAAAAATAGACAAATATATCAATAAACGAAATTTTGGATATAGACAGGGAAAGGGAAGTATAGTTCTATAATTTGGGCACCTCTGGGATTTAGCACTGAGCCAGTGAATGACTGATCTGTGACATTGTGCCTTGACATATTATTATGTAATAATAGTGTAAACATCACTTCTTAGGAAAATTATATATATACTTGCTCAGAAATGTTTTACTGATAGAATACATGGCCAAATAGTTTGGGAATTATTCCTTCCCACTTGTGGTAATTTTTAAATCCACTTTATTGAGGTTTCACTTGCACACAGTCAAGGACCAGCTGTAGGAGGTTGCAGAGATCCAGGGAAGCAGTGATGAGAGTAGAGGGAAAGGCAGATGAGTTGAAGGAGCTGCTGAAATGAAGTAAGTGGGAAGCCCTTGGTGGCCAAGTGTCCAGGAATGATGGGAAGGGGATTGGGTGTGGTAATAGAGGTTCAAGTTTACTTGAGAACTCAGCCTCCTAATTCTTGGAGGAGGGTTTTTGGTTTTGTTTTTGCTTTTGTTTTTATTTTTTAAGATTTTATTTAGTTTAGAGAAAGAGAGAACAGGGGGAGGAACAGAGGGAAGCGGATCAAGCGGACTCTGCGGCGAGCACAGAGCCTGAGGCCGGGCTCAACACAGGGCTTGATTCCACGACCCTGAGATCATGACCTGAACCAAAACCAAGAGTCAGACACTTAACCAACTGAGCCACCCAGGCGCCCCTGCTTCTGTTTTTTTACTATAGCCATCCTCGTGGATGTGAATTCCTGTGGTAGGAATCCTTGAACTGGCCCATGATACTCTCTTAATGTAAATGTTATCACCTCTTTGATTTTCTCAGTGAATGGCATTTCATTCTGATCTCTGTTGACCTTGGGAAAAGCTAGAATTCTCTGTCCTTTTCTTCATGGTTGTCTTTCTCATCTTTCCCTTATGATCCATCATGGCTCTAGGCTCAGGAAGTTGAGATCAAAGAAGCTATTAAAAGGCTAGACTGGGATGCTGTGGCTTTGTCTACAGATTGGGCATTCCCAGCCCGAAGTCCCAAGATGGATTGGTGGGAGACGGTATTCATTTCCAATTTAGACAGCTGCCCCCCCCACCTCGCGCAACCTCCTATCATACCACCACACTTCCTAAACATTACCTCTGTGTCTCTCCCTAGCTGTATGCTCTTCAGCACATCACTTCATCTCTTACCTCAGTTCCATCTACAGATTGGGGCTAAACACCTACCTCATAAGGTTGATATTAAATGTGTTTCAATTTCAAAGTGCTTAGAAGAGTACTTAGCACATACTTAAAGATTGAATGGATGCTTCGTTTATGGTGGTATTAAGGGTGGTGATGCCATTGTCATTGTTTTAGTGTTCAACAGATCAAGAGCTGCTCGGTTCTAGAATGAATAGTTTGACATAATGGCAGCCAGGATAGTTTTTGGATACAGGTGGCCTGAAGGTTCTTGGTTGACTTTAAGAATTAGGAGGGAACTGAGCCCATGAATTTGAAGCAATAGTAAGAGGCAGCTGGCCTTTGTGCAAAGCCCAGAACATATTTCCAATCCTTTGCCCTCCCGTTGGCTGCAGCTGCCCTGTATACCTTCCAATTCTGTTTTGACCTAATTTTATAGCCTATTTTCACAGCTGATCTAAACACAATTTCAAGAGTATACAGTCTTGTTGTTGAGAAAAGTGATGGGCTTTATTTTAGGCGTAGTATTTAATATTTTGTTTTATTTTGTTTTTAAATCAGTTTACATGAAGCTTATATCAGCAAACATAAAGATGCACTGTGTTTTTATCTACATGTAGTATGTCCACAGACACAAATACTTTAGTTCTTCAGTAGGTAATTTTAAATCTTGCTATTACATCCTTTCTGTCATGAAGATTAGTATAACTCTCTATACACATCTCTAAATAAATGAATGTATCAGCATGTAGCCTTGAGGAATCCAATGTAATTTTCATCATGATAAATTGCATAATAAGCAAGAAAATGTTTGCTTATTAATCTATAACAAGATTTAGATTGAAAATGGCCTCTTACATCCATGACACACTTGGTACAGGCTGCAGAAGGACTGAGGTGGGGCAAAATGGAGCAGGGACGTGTGCCTCTTACCCTCATGATGCCTGCCTACCGGGCCACCCCTCTGAGCCTGATTGACTCTGTGCACCATAACAGTGCTCAGCCACCTCACTTCTGACCGCAATGTTCAGCTTGCTTTATGAAGAAGCTTTTATGTTAGGCTTGTGCTTTTAAAAAATTTCAGTTCATGTTAATTGAAAAAGAAAAAACATACACAGTGCTTCCCTCTTTATTCCCATTCTTATGAGTTTATGAGGGAGGGGATTGAGGGGGGCAAGCAGCTCAGGCTGCTCCCTAGTTCTGGGGAGCACATATGATAGCAGAGTTTCTTTCTTCCTCTCTCTCCCATATATTGACATCCTCTGTCAGAGATGATTCCTGAGAGATCTCCTGAGAAACTATAGATGGCTCGATTGATAGGGCATTTTTCCAGAATTAAAATGCCTTTATTTTAGAAATAAGACTGAGAATTTACAACTTTGACATCAAAATAACACCAGTTGTTTTCTAATGTTTTCAACTATTCTACCAAATTTTAAACTATGTTAACTAAGCAAACTTTTACTGAGTAGTTAATATATGGAAGGAACACTATTGGGTCTTGTATGTAGTTACAAAGTTGCATCAAACACAGATCCTGTCTCCAAGGCACTTGCGGTCTGAAGGAAGGATAAGATCTTCCCTGGGGGTAACCATGATGCAAAGGGAGGAGGAGAGTAAAAGGTAGGGATGCTTAGAGGACAGGGAGGTGAATCACAGCTGGGCGCTCAGAAAGGATGCCAGGAAGAGTTTTATTTGCATCTCTCATTTGAATAATTTTGAGGAGAGGCGGAAGAACAAGGACATGCAAAAGGACAGAGATGGGAAGGTACAGGCATGCCCAGCAGATGCTGACGAGCTCCTTAGAACATAGGGTACATGACCGTAAACACTGTTTTTAACTAATTTTATCCATTCCTTGCAGAACTTAAACTGTGGGGAGTGCCCATCTAAAACTTGAACATAAGTTCCTTCCCACTTATCTCTGGGCAATAGAATTAGGGCTAAAAAGAGGATTGGTTTCACCTTTTACTTTATAAAATGATCATAAACATGATAATGGAAGATTATAAAATGAATCGGAAAGAGGTTCTATCTCTTGTCCACAGAAACACTGGTTAGTGAAAAAGGTGCGGTTCAGACCTAGGTCTCGCTGGCTCCACGAGCTCTGCTTCTCTGCTGTGCCATCTTGCACCCCCACAGTTAAAGATCCAGAGAATGCCAAATGTAAAACAGCCTGTTCAAAGGACATAAAAGCTGTCAACTCGGAATTTTCAGCATACTTTCAGATTTTAAAAATACACTGAATGAAAATTCCCATCAAGAATTTTATACCTTCTAGAAATTAATAACCTATTTAAATATCAGTAAGCTCCTTGAGTTCCTGGGCCAGGTATTATATATTTATTCATATTTATTCATAACCCTGTCACATGATTTGTATTCAATAAACATTTAAGTCAAAGAATTTTAGAGATGAAAATCTTCAGCAGCATTCAGTCCAGAGCTCTCAATATACTATTCAATAAAAACAGGGTTAAGAGAGATGATACAACTTGCCTGAGGTTTCACCAGTACTAGAAGAGCTAAAGTATCACCCAGGTCTCCTGACTCCCATTAGGCTTCTCCCATACCTGTATAGTTATGCCACCCTTTATGTGACCAGTGATCCACAGGTAGACTCTGAGGAATTTTTAAATTAATGATTATGGGCTGCTCATTCATGATGGACTGTTTAATAGAAAATGCAGGCTGCTCTTCATTGAAATCATAGATAAAGCCATCCCTACCTAATTGTGAGAAAAATAGAAACATGCAGTATTATGTTTTTTATAAATCCATCATTTTTTAGGTCACCATGGTTATGTATATATGGATAAAATGTTAGAAACAGTAGAAAATCATACTTTGTAAAAGAACAGAAAAAAATCCTTGTACTTTTAGAAGGCTAGACTCTGTTCTGTACATGTTGTGGTCTGATGGTGATTCTGTTTTCCTAGTGTGGGCGATCTCTCATCCACTGCCACGACGGAAGAATGTTAATGAATTACCAAAAGCCCATTGCTTTTCTGGAAAATTCATAGTTTACCAAACTTTAAAGGAAAAACATATGGTCAACTAGAAACCACACATGCTTTGATAATATACAGTTAAGCCCCATATGTTAGAAATATTCTTTTTGAACTATATATAGTTCTATAGAGAGAGAAAAAGAATTGACATTTTAACTCAAATTTCAACCATATTTTTTTATATACGGGGTAGGGGGTAGAGAAAAGAACATACCATATACACACTAAAGTATTTTAGGATTTTATATTTAAACTATTTTTCCTATTCACATTTATTTATTTATTTATTTATTTATTTATTTATTTATTTATTTATTTATTTATTTATTTATTTATTTTAGAGAGAGTGCGTGTATGTAGGTGGGGGCAGGGAGGGGCATAGGGAGAGGGAGAGAGAAAGAAGCCCAAGCTGGCTTCATTCCCAGTGCGAAGTCCATCACAGGGCTCGATCTCAGGACCCTGAGATCATGATCTGAGCTGAAATCAAGAGTTGGACATTTAACCGACTGAGCTACCGAGGACCCCAGACGTTTATTTTAATAGAAAATGTATAATTTGAGGAGCCCATTTAACTAAATTTTGTTAGCATAGTTTTTACATTATAACTCATAGTTGTAAATATATACAACATATAGGAAATAGGTCTAAAAGATGGGCACTTATTGGGAGAATCACCACATTTGTGTTTAGGAGACTAATGCC